CTAACGCAATGAAGGTAAAATCAAAATTTGGAATGGGATTGAAAAGAAAAAATCTACATTAAGGAAAATTATAGCGGCTGCTAAATCGTAAATGAAAATAGGTTCAGCAGCACAATCAACCATCAAATCAGCTTTTAGAGGGGCACGTATCTCCTTTCTTAAAAAAGACATTGAGGCATGCGCTCGAAATAAGGAATCGAAATAAGGAATCGAAATAAGCAATCGAAATAAGCAATCGAAATAAGATATCGAAATAAGGAATTGAAATAAGGATAAACATTGAGAAAGTAAAATACATAAATAAAAAAGGCGACTTTCGTTTTTCGTTAACACTTAATTACACTTTATTAAAAACGTAAATATAAATATTACTATTTCACTAATAATGAGAATTATTAAAATCTGACTGAAAGAAGTTTCTGTGATTCTAATGACGTAAAGAAACATAACCTACTAAATTGAAATCACTCGATTGGCTGCAAAAAATTGCGCGCGTTTATTTTGAAATGTGTAATTCAACTTAATATATTTTCCTACAAGAAAAAAGACATTGAATATATAAAAAAAAATTTATTTATTTAAGTAGTAAAATTTCAATTTTTTAATGATGTTAATAATTTCAAATAATATTCCTATTTAATCAAAATTAAAAACATGATATATAAATAAAATTAAACATGAAACAGTTAATATATTTTAATGTTTTAAAAATAAAATAATCATATTATTTTGATAGAAAAATATTTTTTAGTTTTTTTTATTTAAATTGTTAAATTAAAAAAAACTATTAAAATTCGATTAGATAAATTTAAAATACAAATTTCTTAAAAAATTTATATAATATATTAAATTTATTCATATTGTTTTTAAAGAAATTTTTTTTTGAATTTATGATTTACAGAATGTAATTTTTTAAATTAACCATTTCTGTGACTACTTTATGAGACTGAAAAATTTCTTTTCTCTATATTTACATTATACTTTACAATTTATCAGAAATTTAAATTATTTATCCAAAAAGTTTATAAAATAGAACCCTTAAATAAAATCCATTAATAAAGTATTTAATCAACAGACTATAAACAATTATAAGTAAATTAGTACGGAGCAGCATAAAGATGAGTATAATTTAAAATAAATAAAAAAAGCAGAAAATCATTAGTGCAAGAGAGATTATAGCGTAAATCAATCTCTCTTATTTCACATTCATAATTTTTTTTACATTTTGAATCGATATGAAATAAAAAACACAAGATGAAATTAAATCATTTTTTAAAATGGAATGAATAAAATGGAAATTGAAAAAGGAACAGAAGCAACGAAGACGGCCGCTTGCGGCCGTCGGCGGCGCTAGTAGCTGTAAAAAACGCTGGTGGCAAGCGTAATATAAATAAGCCTCGAATTTTACCAATATCTTCTAAGGTTGGAGGTGTTTTACCTTTTCTTATACCTTTGTTTGCGGGTTTAAGTGCTACAGGGGCATGGGCAGGAGGGGCAGCGGGAATTGCAAAAGCTATAAATGGTGCAAATTCCGCAAAACGTCAGCTTGAGGAAAGTAAACGTCACAATGAGACAATGGAATCAATTGCCTTAGGAAAAGGACTGTACTTGAAACCATACAAAACTGGACTAGGACATTATCTCAAACCCTATAAAAAGGAAAAGGATGGAAATCAAAAAACTTAAAATGAACCTACCACACCGAGCCCTAACAGACTTAGATTTAATAAAATTTGCAAAGCGGTTAAAAATTCCATTTTTTCGAGGAGTTTTTATGCGGAATGAACTACCTATTCATGGATCTAATAAAAATGAATCTGCAATAATTAATTTAGATGATAAAAATGGTCCTGGTACACATTGGTGTGCTTATAAAAAAAATAATAATAAAATTATTCATTTTGATAGTTTTGGTAATCTTCGACCACCTTTAGATCTTATTAAATATTTCGGTGTTGGTAGCTGTGGTCATTTATGTCTTAAATTTTTATGCTATCAGTTAAATATTCCAAATATGTATTCTATTCATATAAAAGATAAATAAATTAAATATTCCATTCAGTTAATACTTAGATTTCAACATGGACGATTCACTTATATTAACATTATCAGGAAATAGTTCCATCTTAGAATCTCAATTTCCCCCCCCCCCTTTAAGTTGTCTCATTTTAAAAATTGTTCTCTTGGTCTTGTTGAATTTTTAACTTTTAATTCTATTCCTAATATAGATGTTGGAAAAAATAAGTTTTATGTTGATAATGAAGAAATTATTATACCTACAGGAAGTTATGAAATTAGTGACCTGGATCAGGTTTTGCATTTTATTTTGAAAAATAAAGGAATTACTTTCAGAATTAAACCTAATAACAATACTTTAAAATGTACAATTTATTGTGATAAAGATATTAATTTTCAACCTAAAGATTCCATAGGCAGTTTGCTTGGGTTTTCTGCACGAAAATTAAAAGCTAAAGAATACCATGAATCTGATCAACCGGTATCCATTATTAAAATTAATTCCCTAAGAGTAGAGTGTAATATAACTACTGGGTCTTATATCAATGGGAAAAAAGTGCATACAATCCATGAATTTTTTCCTGTTGTGCCACCAGGATATAAAATAGTAGAAGTGCCAAATCACGTCATTTACCTGCCAGTCGCTGTCAAGACAATACATCTTATTCAGCTAAGAATTGTTGATCAAGACGGACATTTGATAAATTTTCGAGGAGAAACCATTACGATTAGACTTCATATCAAATCTTTACAATAATGGGCATCGTTTTTGATAATAAAAAGAAAATAATTGATTTTGGTTATAAAAATAATACACCATGCCAAAATCAAATCAGTCAGCGACGAATCTTGAAAAGGCTAACACCTCAAAACCTACAATTACTCAAAAGTCTCGGTTTCAAAGTCGTAAAGAAAAAAGGATAAAACGATTTAAGATCTTTTGCAATTGTATTTGTATATTTGTGTACCGACGTATTATTTGCCATAAAAGGGGAAATTTTAAATATTGATTCACCAATCATTTTTGATGAATCAATTGCTCATTACGAAGTGCATGCGCAGCAGCCATATACATCATCAACGTATAATAATAGTGATGAAATACGTATAACTGTTCAAAATCAAGATCATTGTCTTCTTCCAAGCAAAAGTTCGATTCATGTGAGCGGAAAACTAATAAAAAATGATGAAAACGCAGTGGAGCGCACAAAATTAGTTTCTAATGGCATTTGTCATTTATTTGATGAGGCGAAATATGAACTGAATGGTGTAGAAATAGATAAAAATAAAAATGTCGGTCTGACAAGTTTAATGAAAAACTGAAAAGTGGACCTGTTGATATCCGCTTAGAATTTGAATCAAAAGAGAATTTCCGTGCAAATACTTCCGCTTATTGTTTAATTTTACATGATAGAATTGTTGAATAGAAACCAATTAGCGGAATTGTGAGAAAAATTGTGTAAATTAAAAAAAATCTATTTATAATAATTCAATTTTTTACCAATAATTATTAATTATTATTAGTATTAAATTATAATTATTTATAATTAGTAATAGTAATAATTTATAATTATTAATAATTAGTACTGGTAATAATTTATAATTATTAAAAAAATTATTACTAGTAATAATTTGTAATTATTAAAAAATTATTACTAGTAATAATTTATTATTATTATATATATAATTATTATTAATAATTTATAAATATATATATTATTATTATTACTAGTTATAATTAAATTGCATATGAATAAAATTGTATTTGAGAGAGAGAGAGACAGTCACTGCAGCCCACTCGACCTTGTCAAGAATTTGTCCTAGGTCAGTTATAAGAGGCTCATAAAGAAAAACTCGCCTAATTCATTAACACGTGTGAGAGTGGAAGGTCCCCCCTTCCCCCTTCAAAGCTAGTGCCTCGGCTGTATGAAAGAAAATACTCTTATGCATAGCTTTTACGCTCTACATTTATTCCTCTTTTAGAATAATAATTTTGTAGATTCCGAAATGGAGTACATACTAGATGTTCAAGGATTCAAATTGCCAATTAATGAATTTGTTTTAAAAGAATTGGCTATAGTTTCTATAAATAATAATGATTCCAATCCAGTGCATATGATTTTTCAACCTCCGTGTCCGTGGAATTGTATTTCGAAGAAATACAAGAGTGTTAATCGTAGGTTAGAAAAGAATTTCCATGGTATTTCTTGGAATGCCGGTGATGTTTCGTATATTTATATAAACGAAATATTAAAAAATACGCTTAAAGAAGCGAGCAAAATTTATGTAAAAGGATACGAGAAAAAAAATGGTTACAAGAATTTATTGATGAAAATGTTACTATTATTATCGATGTGGATAATTTCAACTGCGTTTCAATAAAAAAATTAAGAGATCAAGCTTTTGTAGTTGTTCACATCATTCAATTAATAAAAAAACATTTACTTGCGCTCTTCAAAATGTAATGAATTTAAAAAATTGGTTATGTAAAAATAAATTACTGTATAACAATATTTTTTAAATAAATTATACAATATTCTAATTTCAGTGTTTTATTTACTGCATCTACCCTGCTTTATTTTTTTATTAATAGTTTTAACATAAAAATTAATCTTTTTTAATAATGCAAAAGAATTAGTATTAAAAGTTTTTTTTTTAAATAACATTAAAATTTTGTTTATTATAAATTTTTTTTTAATATTTACATGTTTTAAAAATAAAGGATATAGGATGTAGGTGAACAAAATTTTAATAGACATTTTTTTATAAAAATGAGGTTTTATTTTTTCATTTTTTTCGCCAGCTTATTTTTGTTTATTGTTCTCCTTTTTTTTACCAACCCCACATAACCTTGGCATGCGGAAGCCAAGGTATCTGTATACAGATTTCCCAATAGTCCCTAAGCAAAAAAAAAAAAATTACAAATAATAACAAATGCTTATTTTTTTCTTAATAATGAGGCTCCTCATCGCTTGATTCCTGTGATTCCTTTTTAATGATTAATTCCAGGAGACTAGTGGCTTCGTTTACCTCCCTTTGCCTCTCCTCCTCCTCATTTTCCTCATCTATAACAACAATTTCTTCAATTTTAACACCTTGAGTTGGAAGGAAATCAATGTCCATTTGACTCATTGTAAATTCTTCGGTTTATGTTGGATTTGAAACCGGACCTTCTATGATGTCAAAATCAAATTCATCTCCCGATAAATTGTCAATATCAGGACGTTTTTTTAACAGGAACACGAAATCCTGAATTTCCAATACTTCTACAACGATATTCATGTGTTCCAAGAAATACTCATCGTCGTCCATTGATGAACTTGGACTGAAAAGTCCGTATCGCCTTACTCCTGCCGCCAATGTCAGAAAATCAGTTAATTTCTGGAGATCAAAGCAATTGACCACCCATTCATTCGGTATTTGGAAAAATAAATGGAAGCCCGTGTAATTGTCCTCATTCTGCAAAAAAAGAAATATATTTTATTATTAATTGTATAATTAAATAATAATCATAATAAATTATGACATACAATTAAAAAATAATTTAAATTAACTTTTATAATATATAATTACCCACGTAGAAAGTGCTCCTGGAAATTGCCACCGGAATTCTTATTCGACATTCCAATGAAATTCCGATTTAAATTCCGACTGGAATTCCAATTGCAATTTTGACTGGAATTCCAATTGAAATTCTGACTAGAATTCCGATTGAAATTCCGACTGGAATTCAAAATGAAATTCTGACTGGAATTATGATTGAAATTCCAAGGAATTCTTTTTGGAAATTTCTATGGAATTCCGATTGAAACTTACAATGGAATTCCAAAGAATTCTTATTGAAACTTACAATGGAATTACAAAGAATTCTTATTGGAAATTCCTATGGAATTCCGGTTGAAAATTTCAGTGGAATTCCAAAGTATTCTTATTAAAAATTTCAATGGAATTTCGATTAAAATTCCGACTGGAATTCCAATTGAAATTCTGGCTGGAATTCCAATTGAAATTCTAACTGGAATTCCGATTAAAATTCCAAAATGAAATTCCAAGGAATTCTTTTTGGAAATTCCTATGGAATTCCGGTTGAAAATTGCAATTGAATTCTTTTTGGAAATTTTTATGGAATTCCGATTGAAACTTACAATGGAATTCCAAAGAATTCTTATTGGAAATTCCTATGGAATTCCGATTAAAAGTTCTTATTGGAAATTCCTAGTAAATAGAAATGAAATTTCGATTAAAAATTGTAATGGAATTCTGATTGGAATTCCGATTGAAATTGTAATGGAATTCCGATTGGAATTCCAAGGAACACTTTCGTAGGAATCTTTTTAACATGTATAAATATGTATAATAAATTATTATAATAACATTAATTTTTTTGTTCAATAATTGCATTCTAATTAAATAAGTAATAAAAAGAAATTTAAAAAATTTAAATTATTATTATTTTAAAAATATTTAAATTATAACTTACCAAAATTTTACCAAAGTCCAAGTCAATGCGTCGTATCCATTATCCATTCACCATACCGTGAACTTTAGCCCGTACTCCATTGAAATTTAAATAAACTGGAGAATGAGAATCTCTCTCCCCATTAAAAATGTCTCTTGTTCTTAACGCCAACCCTGTGATGCACAGTTCTCTAAATTGCTCCGTATTGCTTTCCAAAAGCCATCTTTTTGGACCCTGAATCATCACTTCTATTGTTGTATAATAATCCATTTTCTCCATCGTTTCTTTTAAAAATTCTTTAAAGAAAAACAAAATTTATTTAAAAAATTATCAATAAACAAAGCAAAATTCAAAAAATTTCAATATATGTATAAATTTTTTTCGAAAATTGAAGTTAATTAAAAAAATGTTAAAAGTAAAAAAATTTTAATAAAAATTGAATTTTTTTTCACAAACAAGTAAAAAACACAATAAATTATTTTTAAAAAAATTTTTTAAATTTTATTAAATATTACTAAAATTGAAGACAAATTTAAAAAAATTAAATTTAATTAAAATTTTTTTTGAATTTCAATAAAAAAATTTGTCTAATTTTAACTAATAAATTAATTATAATTTTGATAAAAAAAGCTTTAAATGTAAAAAAATTTTTTAGTTACACTTACTTTTTTCACTAAAAAGAAAAAAATCACTGCACTGTGCACTCCACAAGTCACTTAGAAGGTTCTTCTATTTTTGGTGGTTACTTTTTTATTAAAGCTCCTATGGCACTGGCCTCTTTTTATATGCTGTCCCATAGTTTACAATTGAGTGACAGAGACAAATGCCATAGATTGAACGGAGAAGAAATATTACGATGACGCACACACTTGAAGGATGGAGTGAGACAAAACATAATTTTTAATAAGATTGAGAGAGAAAGAGAACTCAAAATGAATAGAGAAAAGAGTGGACAAATATTAAAACATATCCAAGTTTTTGTTCTCTTAATTTTTTTGCCTTATTTATATAACTTATTTTTGTACCCCCAAGGAAGGGTGTCTGTACTTTTTGGTAAAAGAACTCTTTTATCGTCATACCAACTTAGAGCCTCTTTTCTTTGTTGTACAGTGTAAACTTGATGTTTTACACTTCGAATTAAATATTGATTTTCTACTAAGTTTTCGTATGAAAAAAGTGTTTTTTTATAGTCCTCAAATGTAATTTCCTTTAATGTTGAAGATCTAACACCTTTGGCTTTTTTCTTCTCGCGAATTTCGTTTAATATTTTATATGAATACAATTTCGATCTTAATCCAATAAACTCCGTGACAATCTTGCCATTGCATTCATCTTTCATTAAACCTAGAACTTTTCTATTTTTTAATTCTATACCATAACAATTATTTTCTGGATAATCGAAAGTATCAAAAAAATGTGAATCGCGTTTAATATAATCATATATGTTTGGAACTTTTATATGATAAATTAAACTATCAGTATCGGTATAAAGTAATTTAGATTGATCACTGAAAGTTTTTTTAACATAATTATAATGAAAATCGTAAAGAAAGAGTTTTGATATATCAAGAATGCTAAATCCAACATATATCGGTTTATTAAATTTAATCTGAACTTTATTCATCTCTATTATAACCAAATTTTTATCAAAAATATGACAACTGTTGAAATTTGGTTTACTAATAAGAGCTTTAGCCCCGTATCTACCTTCCCAATGTGTAATAATTCTAATATCTTTATGCTTTCTTATGTTCTCCATTGTCTTCCCAAAAACAGAATTGTTCATTAATTTGTAAAAATTTTTTTCAAATATATTTGTTGATTTTTTTCGAAATTCTGTATTCAAATCAATATATTTTTTTAACCATTGAGATTGATTGAATTTTAAAATTCTATGAATTTTCGTTAATTTCATTCCAAGTTGCAAATAATATTTTAAATTTTTATAATGAATTACGTATTTTGTTCTGGAAAACAAATGTGGTATTAATTTAGGTAATTTTCTCCCTGCAGCAGGGGGTATAAAATGTTCGGGGCATAAAGGCAAATCTTTATGCATATCATGAAATTCTTCTGGATATTCCAAATCTACTTTTAAAATATATCCATACATAGAATCATCTTCAATTTTATTCACATCAAACTCTGATAAATATTAATTTCCCATTGAAAATCAGAATAGGGTAAAAAATTACTCATCGCTGCGCCATATAAATTATTTATATCAAAAAACATTATATAAGATTCTTCAATTTCTGAATTAAATTCTGGCCCCATAAATCGATTGTTTGCTTTCGCATACCTATTTGAGCATTGAGAAATTCCTCCGCGAATACCCTTTTCTATGAAAAGTAACATTTCAATATCTCCTAATAACTCTAGTTCTATTTTTGTGAATTTTAACATAGCATCCAATGCAAGTCCTGGTGCTGTAAAATAGTGTAAGGGGTCTAAATTATATGCAGATAAGCATGTTTTTCGAAAATTCTCAAAAACATCAGCTAAAAGTAAAACGTCTGTTTTTAAATATAAATCTGAATATTCCCCCAAGTTATTCAAATTAAATGTATTCCATACTTGACAAGCATGCGCATATTCTTCATTCGATATATTTGAATTATTCAATTTTGAAAAAAAAGCTTCTATTGACGGTAACTTATTTTCCTCTAATTTTTGCCAACTATCTATATATTCATACGGGAAAACTCCTTTTCTCACCAATAAATTAAACTCATCGATATTATTGCAATATTTTGCAGTAATTTTTTTTCGTTATTATTTAAAAAACTTGCTAATTTATCTAAACTACTAGGCATGAACCTAAACGAGTCTAAAAATTTAAAACATACATTTTTACCCTCGACATATTTGGTAAAAGAGATATATTTTTCTTTATTTATCGGTAAAAGTTTTACATTTCCTTCAAAACTAGTACACAATTCTTTTATAAAAAAATGTGCATCGTATCCCGACAAATTGTGAAAAACTACGGGAATCGAATGCGAATTTTTATAATTAATATTACAACCCTGATGAGCTGCACCCCTATATTTTCCAGTGAAATGACAATGATCTCGATGTTTAATATCATCATTTTCGAACGAATTTTCACAAATGTGACAAATTTTTGCGGTTTTAAATTCCAATTCTTGCTGAAAAGTTAGAGTTTCTATTGGCACTATTTTTTTCAAATATGTTTCAATTAAATCAGCAATACTTATTAATTTTTTCATGAACCAAGAAATGCAATCCCGCCCTCTATAAGATTCAAACACCGAAAGTGAATCATCAAAATCACATTTTAAATAAAATGCAACGCTTGTCGGAATGTGTTTCCTATATACACCAGATATTATTTCGTTATCATTAAAAGCTTCTAAAAGACTTTCAGTATCCGCATATAGTACAAATGGCACCTTTTCTTTAAATAATTAAAATTATTATTAGTGTGATTATTTATTACAGAAAAAGTGTCCACTTTTTTTATAATTAGTAAATGAATAGTATCTTTTTTAGAAAAATTATCGCTTAAATAAAGAGGGACAATGTCTTCTTTATTTTTACCAACTTTTTCAAAACCATAAATATTTATTTTCAAACTATTCATTCTTTCAAATTGAGAAACATCTTTTAAACTAATAGGAAAATTTATTCCCTCATATTTTAAAACATTCCTAAAATGAGGATAAGAACTTGTAAGACTTGCATTATTTTTAACTGGAAACAAAGCTGCCATTACTGACCAAAGAAAACAGTAATCGTTAGTACATTTTACATTTAGAACAGCCTTTTTATCAATTATAAATTTTGGTAATTCCGTATTTACAGAACAACCTACCTGAATTGGCGCATGTCTATTTATATTAACCATCAAATTTAAAATCTCCTTCAATGACCAACCTGACTTTTTTTCATTAAATTCCTCAACTTCTTTAAGAATATATTCATTTATTTCATTAAGAATTGTATCTAAGTCTGAGAAGGGAAAAAGAATTTTATTTTTTGTATTAAACGATTTTTTTTCTTGTATATTTTCACCTTTTTCGATAGTTGTAAAATTGCCTATTAACACAAAATTCACTTTTAAGCTACTATTTTTTTAAAGCATTTTTTAAACGGGATTTTATTACAGATTTTGACTCCTCTAAAAAGTTGAACAAATCTTTATGTTTTGAATTAATAACTACTCCTGTTCTAACTCTTTTTTCAAAAGCTGACTCTAAATTTTCCAATTTTATTCTTCTTTCTTTTTTTTCCAAATTTTACCTCCACTAGTTTTTTGAATTTCTCTGAATTTTTCGCAAATAGTTTTTAAAATTCCAACAGTTGTTATAATTCTTTTTCCTTTACTCACATTAATCAATTCTTTTTTTGATTTCAAAATTTTATTCAAAAGACTTATATTTTGCACTACCAATTTTATCCACCTTTCCGATTCCAATAATAACCGTTTTTTACTCTTAATATTTTTCACTATAATATAAGCACTCTCCATAATTTCAATGAGTTTTGGAATATCTATAGAATCCATATTTTCTGTCTTTTTTTAATTAAAAAACTGAATTCTTTATTTAACAAAAACGCACAACCTATCAAGCTATTTGTTTATTGAAGACTAACAATTATTAACAAATGTATGCTTGCTTTTATACCACATTTCAAGGTTATATAAATTAAAAAATAAAATTATTAAAAAATAATTCCAGGAAATACATTAAATAAACATTCTTCTTTTCTCACGATCTGAAAATGTAATCATACGATGACCAATATTCTAATTAAAACATATTAGTCCAAAATAATATTTTCATTAAATTAAGATAAAGGCCATGCATTTTCTTTCTCAGATCAAAAAAATCAAAACAAATTTTTAATATGCTTAGTTAAAACTAACATAGCATACTTGCTCAACGATAGATATATAGATAGAAAACCATAAAACTGATTGCTTAGGAAGAATTTCTAACCGCACTAAGCTGAAAAAGAAATTTGATACCCTAAAAAGCAAAGACATACAGTACTCTGAAATGCAATTAACAGATATCGATTGCAGGAAGTTATAAACTTGTCATCATATTGTTTATAACAAAACTAATAGCAATATTTTCAAAATAATTTTAATAAGTTAAAACGCAAACAGGAAATACCAAGCATTTTTTTCTATTACGCAATATTGCGCAATCATAATATTCGACAAAAATGCCGGTAATGCCGGTAACAGATTCCTACTGTCCAGAACGCCCACAGCCTATCTACTAATGTAGTTTTTAAATCCATTATTATTTTTTGATAATTTTGAACAGTATTTTTGTAAAAAATTATTTTGTGCAGCGTGGCAACACGGCTCGTTGAACTCCGCGCTGGGGAGAGTTGTGCCGACGCCGGGGTCGGTTGTGCCGCTCAGATTTTTTAGTTGTTTCAGTTGAAGCAAATGATTTTACGCGTAAGAAATAAAATAATTATAGCTATCTATCTGGCGATGCTCGTGTAAAAGAACTGTTCTTAATTTGTCCCTCTAAAGATTAAAATAAAATAAAAAATTTCTTTTTCATTGCAAGAAGGAACATTTAATTTTTTTTTGATTAAATGATTTGTCGCGTTTGATTTACATTTTGATTTTTTATGTTCTTTATAATGATATCATTTAATCAATTAATTACAATCGTCGCGCGAAACTCCAAACCAACGTATGTCGAAAAACTGCATTTTGAACTCACACTTAAAATTTATCAAACATCATTTTAACTCCTAATGTGTCCAACATTGTGATATTTTTTTTAAATTTTTGCTAAATCTTCATCCTTTCTTTATCGATTTTTCTTTTCTTCTTTCATCATTTATTCCTTTCAAAAAACAAAATTTTTTGTCTTGACTTCATCTCCAATGATAATTTCCTTTTTTTAT